TGTATTTTTCATGGACAAGTAAGAGTCTTCTGCCAAGATCTCTTCCAAATCTTCAAATGGTTCTGTCTGGACCATCATCTTGCATGTGTACTTTGAAGTTCTTTGTTGCTCTTGTGGAATGTTTATATTTGACGTTTTAGACATGCTTTAACATATACATTACCTGATTACAAGCCAGTTCTGCTCCAGGTACATTTCAAAGGGATTGCTGCTAGCCACATTTAACCCCACCTGGCTGAGATTAACTAGCACATCTAAACTTCAAGCAGTATCTTTGGATCTAGTTGCTTGACTACCTGTTCCACTGGTGAAAACATTAAGTTGATTTTTCTTTTATCTAAGGGAACAAGACCTAGGCATTCATGCACAGCCTATCTGTCTTAGCTCCCCCAAGAACTTTTGAAACATTGGCCAAGTTTAACCAAATTTACTGAGTGGAATATGTCTCAACATACTACATTTCTGTATGTCTTGTGAAAGGAGGGCACTTGAGCAGCAGCAAGGAAAAGGCTGAAAAATGAGTTGAGCTCTTATTAAAGAATGCACATAGGAGCTCAGTCGCAAGAAGTCTTCAGGAAATGGCTTCACTTGTCATTTGTTACCTGTGGTACTCTTCCCTCTCCTGTTCTCCTAGTATCAAAGCCATTCACAGTTCAGCTCAAAGTAGGAAAGTAATATTACTACTGACTCAACAGATGGGGAACTGAGGCACAATGTGATTAAAATTCAGACTTTCAAAGGTATTTATGCACCTCTCAATTGAAAGCTGATGGCCTGGATTTAAAGTAGCTTTCCCAAAGTCATACAAGAAGCGTGCAGGAGACCTGGGGATTGAATCCAACCTTGCACCTTGCTCTTTGGCCCATACTTCCCAAATGAGATGTAGTAATTTCAGCATCACACTCTGCCCAGCCCCCCTTTTGGCTGGACATCAGTCTGCTGTGAATGAACACATCCTTTGGTCCTCATGGTGTGGGTGTCAAAGCTGGCTACTACTATAGCTCTGCCTCTCAGGCGCACTGTCACAGTACAGACCCTGTATGTTACTCCTTTTCAGAGCTGTGGGACCACACAGCATGAAGGCCACCCGAGCACCTAGTTCCTTCCAAGTGTGGAGGAAATGTTACTGCTAAAGGGGTAATACTAGCTAAAAGCAAGGTACACTTGGGTAGCTAAAGAATTTTTTAACACAACTGAGAGCTACTGATCCTTGGAAATATAAAAATGTCCTGAATTTCAATTAATTCCATCTGATCTCATCGTACTGTGACTTGGTTAATTACCTGTAGATAATTTCTTCTGGATTTCTGCATTCAGTCTTTTTTCACGTAGCATTGCCTGGCTCTGTAGTAGCTTCCAAGTGTCTTTTAATTAGGATTTTCTAACACAAATAAGAATGCTCTAATCTACAAAAAAAAAAAAAAAAAAGACATAACAAGCATTAGAAAGATCACTGTTAAGAATGAAAATAAATTCCTGAGGTCCCATGGAGTTCATAGTTTGACAACAGACCTATTTCCAGTCTGTTACACTCAGAATTTCACAGTAATGAGAACTCTGGAGAATGTTAAATGAACCCCCCACTACCACTCCATGCTATTTCTACAAAAATTGTAATATCTTGTTTCACACACATACTTTTCCAAATGTCAGAGTGCAGACCACAACTAAGGCACATTTTGGAGCGGGCTGATATATCTGTTCTGGTTTAAAGAAGCATACTTGCCCACCTTTGACAGCTTTCTTAGCTAACACCTACTAAGTAGAGCAGAAGATATCTGAAGATTCTGTTTTTCTTACTGAAAATTTCAGACCCAAAATGTCAACCTCACCAAAGAGATCAAAATCTCACGAAACTCTCCCTTACACCTTACTGCAGTTAACTCCACCTGCTCTTGAACATTCTTCCCATCTTTTTGTATAGTTGGAATTTGAGCTGATCTAAAAGGAGAGGTAGATTGGGTACAGAATATGAGAAACATACTGTAGACTGGAAAAATTATATGCGAACCTGGAGAATATAAAATCTAAATGACATGATGGGGCATTTGTAACTGATAAGCAGCTAGATAACAAACCAGCAAACATTATACTAGATGATTTATCAAGGTTCACACAAGACACCCCTGATATTTTACAGAGGGGAGATGGAGATCAGACATGTTGAAATACACCTCTTCAGGATATACGGTATGAATGGAACACATGGTGCTGCAAATATATGGAGCTTGAGAATGTACTTAGCATATGGCTAAAATAATAAACCAATTAAAGATGGCATGATAAATGTGTGACAGAAATTGTCACTAATGGAGGAACACAAGACAAAATGTAAGAGGGAATGCTGGCTTGGATTCCCTGGCTTCAGTTGGCTGACAAGTTTAACCACTGAGTGCTGTTCTGTCACCAGTAACAGTGAACATTTGTTCCCACCATGCCATTCTAAAGAAAAGCGTTGAGTAAAATAAGTGGGTAAGTAGTTTTTCCATCAATACAACACTGATAAATGCCATCAAAAATGCCACAGGAGAAGCAATATTTTTTTTTTTTCCAAGTTTGAAAAATACACAGTAGAAAGATTTGAGGGCCATGCTTTCAAGGAAAGATTCAAAGTATCGACTAGCTGCTCAGAAAAAGGGCATCGTCTTCTCAGTTCCCTGAGGAACCTGCACACTGGTCAGCATTCATCCTTCTACTCACTTGTGAAATTCTGGGCTGAGATGGAAGAATCCATCCAAGTATCTTAAAACTGCACAGCAAGATGAGTAGTGTATTGTCATGGTATTGTATTTAGCAAACACAAGCTATAAAATAGATAAAGAGGAAAATGCATTCCCTAAGATCCCAAAGTTAGTGAATGTTCTTGCATTACTTTCCATCTTCCAGGCATTTTAAAAGAAGTAACTAATTACTGCTCACAGTACCCAGGAGGCAGAATCAAGCTGCATATAGCATTTGCAGTAAAAACCTGAAGCCATGCAAAACTTGTCTCATTCGATGTTTCAATTTAAACTCAAAACAACCCAAATACACGGACATTTTGAGTGAATCCGAATCTTTATGATATATCAAAACATAGGAAACTAATGTTATTATGTGAAACCAAGTGGAAATGTGTAAGGTTCATTGAGCTTTGCTTTGTTTAAATCCAAATGCCGGCAGAAAGCTAGGAGAGGAACGTACTGTATTTATCAGGTATTAACGAGAAGAATGCTAGCAGAGGCTGTTGTGAAACACAAGTTTCATACCAGTTTATCTAAAATACCTAAGACCCTCAAGTAATGAAGAACGACTGCAGGTTGGTAAGAACTGCACAAACCAGAATTATTTCTGTTAGTTCCATTGTAGAGATTGCACATACACATGTGTTCATGGCAGATGTGTGCAATGTCTTTGGCTGCCTTCAACTAGAGGAAAAATTCCTCTCTCCAATTCTAGCGAATGGCAGGATTGGCGGATTATGAAGTGTTTCATATAAATGCTTCACAAGAGAGGTTTGTAAGTCTCAGTGGAGAAATCAGCCCAACTATCATCTTTACCCAGCAGCCCGTATTTTTTCAGAACAAAGCCTGAAGAGTGGAAGGAAAACATGCTCTTTAGGCCCTGCATCACTGAGGGGAAATGTTGGAGAATGGCTAAGGGAAAAGGGACATGGATCTAGAGATCCTCTTTGCGACGAGAGTCTCTTTTAAGTTAGCATGAGTAGGCCTCAGTCAGCAAGAGTGAACAACAGCAAGAGTGAATCCCATGGGAAAGTACTGACTAAGGTTTTGAGATGAAACATTCTCTATCTCGTCAAGGTTGGGAAGCATTCCTTGTTCTTCTTTAATCAGGGGAGGATGGAGAAATGAGCATTCTTTGTTTCTCCTAAACTAACTTATCTGGGTCTTTCCCAGGGCTTGGGCCAACAAGCCCTGGCATGGCTTGCTTGTATTTTATCCAATCAATGATTGACTAGTAGGCATAATTAAGCAGAAGGATTATAAAAGGCTGTAATGAAAATCAATAAACTGAAGCATGCTTTATCACTCATACTGAGTCGGCTGCGTTCTTCCTCCTTGGCTGGGTCCTCGGCTCGCCCAGCCCGGCAGGGAAAGGATCCTTTCAGATTTGCAGGGAAATTTTATTTGTAGAGGGAAAGTGCAACACCGTACCATAGATCCTCTCACCCAAGGCTTTGTTCCACCAGTTGGTTGGGACGAAGGTCCCGTGGGCCATCCTCCTCCTTTATCGACCTCCTCCTCCTCATCAGCTTCTTCTTTCTCAGTCTGCGTGAGACCCAGAAAGTCACGGGGTGATGTGACATGTTTTTCTCTCACCCAAAGAGCCTAGGTGCAGGGGCAGGCCGGCTTTGAACAGAGCCGAGGACCCTCTCGACCCCCTGCAGACAGTGCCTGCCTTACTGACCGCAGACCCCCACCGCTGAAGCGATGGAGGGGAAGAGGCCGGGGCCAAGGCCGGCGGGGCACAGCCGGGAGTGCCGCTCTCTCCCCCGTCCCCCACCTCGCGGGCTTCTCCTTTACCCCACAGCGCCTGGTCAGCGACCCCACTGCACAAACACCACCCCCCCGGGACAGCGCTCTCTCGCCGGCTCCTGGCAAAGGAATCTGCAGGCGCGCTCCGACGGGCGGGTTTTCCCTCAGCCCAGCCGCTGGGGGAACCCCTTCGCCCCTCAGCAAGGGGCGGGGGGGGGGGGGGGGGGAAGGCGGGCCGGGCTGCCCCCCAAAACCCGGTACCTCCGTCCCCAGAAAGGAGGCGGGCAGGGCCGGGGCGGCGGCGGGAGGGAGCGCGCTGAGGGGAAGAGCCGGCGCGCGTGGCGGGTAGGCGGCGCGGAGGGAGGGCAGCCTGGCTGCGGGAAGCGGGGCTCCGCGCTGGGACTGGTTCCTTCGCAGCCATTTTCTGTCCAACCAAACAGCCGATTTGCGGAGGGAGCCAACCAGGGCCGCACTGGAGGTTTGTGCCTGGCTCCGGCCAATGATTGGTAACCGGTTCCACTGCAGGCTCGAATGAAATGTCCGTCTCCCTCCCCGGGCCCCGGCGCTGCCGCCGCGCCGCCGCCGCGGGGATCAGGAAGTGGGGGGCGGCGGCAGCCCTCGGGCCCCGCTACCGGTCGCTCGCCTCTTTGTGCGACCGGAGGCGCGGGGGCCCCGCGGCCGGGGGAGAGAAGCGGGCGGGAAAGGAAGAAGGGAGGCGGCGGCGGGGGGTCTTGGCAAGGGCGGTGGGGCGGCTGCCCCCGCCGGCGTCCCCCCTTCTCTCCTCACGGCCGGGCGCGAAGAGGTGCCCCCCCACCCCGTTCCGGCTCCATTTTGTGGCCTGGGCGGGGGTAGGAGGCGGAGACGGGAGTACGGTTGCCCTGCGGCCGGCCCGGCCGCCCGGCTCCCCCTCACCGCCCGCTGCGGTGGCGGCGAGGCGCCCGGCCCCCAGCCGGGCCGGCCTGTGGGTCGCCGCGACCCCTCGGCGGCGATCTCCCTCCCGGCCCGCCGGCCGCGCTCGGTCTGCGCGAGGGCCCTTCTTCCCGGCGGCGGCATGACGGGCGGCGGCGGCGGGGTTGGAGGGGGGGGGGGTGTGGGGGGGGCGGCTTTGTGGCGGCCGCCGCGCCTCGCCGTGCGCCGGCGGAGGGGGCTCCGCTCTCTTTTGTTTTTGGCCGGCCGGCGCCGCAGCCCGCCGAGCCCCCTCCCCTCGCCGCGGGAGCGAGGGGCCCGGGCCCCCCCCCCTCACCACGCCCACGGTCCCCCGCCGAGCCGGGCAGCGGGGCGGGGAGCGGCCGGGCTTCCCGGCCCCTGCCGCCCTTGTTGTCGAGACCGAAATTTCCTGGAAGGTCTGGCGGGGCTTCGCAGGGGTTGCGGGGAGCGTAGGGCGAGGCCCCGAGGTCCGGTGAGAGCGGCCGGATAGGGGCAGGAATAACGGGCAGGGGGGCTCCGGCACTGAGCCGCCGGCGTGCAGCCTCTCCCCGCGGGTGTGGGGAGGCTGCTGCGTTCTGCACGGACATCACAGCCGAAGGGATGAACAATAAAGTTGCTAAATAACGGGGGAGGCGTTGTCCGATTGGAAAACCGAGGGGTCGCGATAGGCGAGGTGTCTCATCAAATAGGTGCGAGCTAGGCGGGAGGAAGACTTTGAGGCTATTTGTGCGAGCAGGAAGGTTTCCTCGCCGTGCCCCTGCGCTAGCTGATGTTGCATCAGTGAAGGGCATGAAATCAGGAAGTGAGATCGATCGGCTGTCACAGCCGAGCGGCATCGACAGCTTGTCCCGTAACACACATGGCAGGTAGGAGAGAGTCGGGACGCCGTTATTCTCAGTGTCTACGCAAGCGTTGTGTGTTTGCCAAGTGGTCTTGGTCTTACCTGTGCGTGCCAGCCACTGCTCCATCCAGAAATTATGTAGTTGGTGATCCTGAAGAGTGTTGTGTAGGTTATTCCCTGGCAATTGCATTGGAAAATAATAAAAAATAATAATGTGTTCTAGTAATGTTTTGCCAGTGATTAAGATACACTGGTTAAAGAAACCTTCCAAGGTCCTGCTGCAATACTGCAGCAATAGAAAATCAGTCAACGTCTAGCTTTACCAATTTCTTCAAGGCTTAGCCAAAAAGATTTTCTACAAAAAACTGTCATGTAAAAGCTACCTAGTGTGCTTGGATTGCATGTGGGAGGGCAAAATAATTGATAATGACCCGAAACTTTCTAGGCAGTGAGGGACGTAGAAATCTGGATTTCAGCCCTTGAATGGGCTCTCGTGTAGTAACCTTTGCCTGTCTTGCTGATAGATGGAAGTCACTGTCAATTAAAAAAAAAAAAAAATTGCAGCTTTCTCAAAAGAAGCTCAGGCAAAATAGTAGTGAAAAGCAAAATGGAAGGATCTGCTTTGAGCATTATGCACAGTCTGGCTTTAATTGGCTTGAAGGAAGGAAGAAGTGGTGTTTATGTATAATCATTATCATAGCATTCCTAAACAATAAGCTTAGTGATTATTTTTTCTCTGCTTGTGTGGCCTATGGCATAACAGTTACAATGTAAAGGGAGGATCCATCTGTAATTCTCTGAGAGACCCAAGATGGTTTAATGTGAATCATTGAGGTCTTGTGTGAGTTGCTTGTGCTCTGCATTGAGCATATAATCACACATACTGTGTGATTATATATGGTCTTGGCTGCTAGCATGTACAGCTATGAAATTGTATTTGAAAGAAGTCAAGAATACTGGATATTACTCTTTAACCTTTAATATTTGATAGTTATAGCAGTTCAAAGTTTAACACATAACTTCTTATTTGTGGTAATTACATGAAGGGAGGCAGCGTACAGAAACTGAAAAGGATTGTTCAAGATACTTTCAAGATGTGAAATGTTAAATACTGTGAAACACTTAAAGTCAGGTATCTTGTTTTGTCAACATTTAAGAAAGGCTTGCAAGGCTTTTCCTTTAGTGCTTTCGAATGCAACTCTAATGTCACTTCACCTTTAAAATTTTGCTTAGAGAGAAACTTGACTTTTCCGTACTGAGTTTTGCAATAGTACTTTAGAGAAACATATTTGGAAATTGATGTTTTAATGGCAGGATGCTTGTAAAAAGTGCAAAACATGACTCGTGTATATATGTACTAAACAACGTGTAAATAACACCAGTAAAATAAAAGGAAGTGTCAGCGAATTTTATAATTTTGACTGAAAATACTGGCCTGGTGTGATCTAGCTTTGTAAAACTCTTAACTGCCCTATTGCTTGAGAGAAATAAGTTTACTGGCACACTTCATGTACTATTTGCAATGAAGGAAAAACATAACCAACTTACAGATGTTGCCAAACTTACAGAAGTAAAAGGTGGGATTTATGGATTGCTGATTTAATAAACAGATAAGCTTAGTTTTTCACAAAAAATGTTAGAAAAACATCAAAAACTTAATATGGAAAGGTAGTATGGAGCTTTCAGTCAGTGTTGCAGGAGGATGGAGGTGCTGGTACAGTCTGTTCAGCACTGCTGCCCTCTTCCAGCTTCTGCAAAAGCAGTAAAACTGCCTCCATTCCTCTGTTTGTCTCCTTTTTTTCCCTCCAGCTTCTCTCTTTTACTGCCAAAAAAGAGAAGGCATGGAAACTCGGTTTCTTCTCCTTGCTCCGTATCACTGATCCACTCCTACTTGATGTAAAAATATATGCATTGTTAGTCCACCCATATATATTGCAGCTAACCATGCTTGTGAGCGGTTAGCCAGCCTAGTAAGGAGCCACCACATGCTCTTAGCATAGCGGAGGGAACTTGGGGCTGGTGACATCAGAGCTCGTAAGGTGAGCCATAAAGGTGATAATACTGGTATGTGGAAGGGGACAGTGGAAAGGCCCTGTTTGGATTTCATAAGAGAAAGGTTTCTTCCCTCTGGTTCACGGGAAGGGGCCTGGCACAGCCTGGATGCTAACGAGCCTTAGTGACGCTGTCAGGTCCTCTCAGCATCAATCTGCTACTCCTAATATTATTCTGCTGGGGGGGAGAACAGTGAATGTGAGAGATTAGAGGAGCCTGAGATGGAGAGAGACAGCGCAGCATCTATTTGTGTTCTAGGAACGTGCTAAGGGGTTTTAACTTTACGTTTTTGTGGATCTGCTGGGATGATGTCCCATGAATGTGTTTACCTGTCAGCGTTTCTTGCTGCAGGAGACACTGCTTTGCTGCCAGGTGAGAATTCAGTGGGAAATTGGGTTCTCCAGAAGTCATCGCAAAATGAAAGGAAATTAAAATTGTATTTTCAATTAAAAATTGTTTCTGTATTTCTGTTCAGGAGCAGCAAGTGAGGGTGCAGAAAGCTCAGATAAAACTGTTGTCTTTGCTGTTATGTACTGCTTTACAGCTTTACATCTCTTGTGCCAAGGCGTGGCGGCAAAATTAATGTACAATGACTGATGTGGTTACTACCTACAGCTTTAGTTGTGATTTCTGTCCTGCTTCTGTGGCAAGGACGACTGTGTGGAAAATGTACCAAGTGCTTCAGTTCATTGTATATCATTTTCTGCTGTCCTTGTAGGGCAGCAATTTTGGGAGCCAGGGTGGGGAAATACCATGTGAAGTACTTAAGGCACAAGAGGCCTTTGGGTTTCCCCCTCAGGAGACCAGTTTTGCAGATTGTTGCCAGGTAACTTCCCCATTCTGAAGACAAAGTCTTGTTTCTTTGATTCTGTCTTTGCCTTTTATACCGATCTAAGTTTTAGACCCTTCCTCTCCTCAGTGCTAACAGGTCTGGGCTTGCATTCTAAAAGTATCATTTAGTCGAATCACTGATGCTGCTCTCTTAAGAGAACTCAAGACTAAACAGGATGCAAGATTTACTTTGAGGTACTTAGGTTTTATTAATTCAGTATAGATGTATTCTTGGAACAGTCTGAGTTGTGGGCAGCTGACAGGAGCATATTTTTTTAAGCATCCTCCAGAAAATTTTCTACCAGATGTCAGTGTAAACCTGTCTGTTGATTCACTTGCATCTTATCACTGAATTTTCTTTGATGCCCTTGATCTGAAATGTTTCTTTTCTAACACATTTCTCAGGTTAATTTCCCTGGATCCATTAATTCGTATATTCCTAGTAATGTTGTTTGTACTTAGAGATAAAAAAGCAAACAGAAAACCACCACAAGAAAACTTTGTGCTGCTGCTTAGATGCTTTTTGCAGTGTATCACTGAATGTTTGGCTTGAGTGTCCTGTACTTGATTTCTCTGCCTCGCTGTTGAAAAAAATCAGGTGGTGGCGTGATCACTTTAGAGACTGATGTGTTGTCACTTCTGACATGCTTAGCTCTCAGCCTTGATTCAGTCAATATGTGTATGCATGGAGGAGCTTTGGTGTTTTGCTAGCACTAAAGGAGGCTAAGGATAACGTACAACACGGAATAAATAAGGGCTTCTCACAGATGTGTGCGGTATGTGCTACTAGACCAACGTGTTGGAAGCCCTCATCTCTCACACAGTTCAGTAGCCGCACGGATGTAGGAGACGCTGTCTCGTGTTAAAAGACATTGCAATGTCTGTCTGCTGAAACTGCCATACAGATAGGATATATAATCTGCAAATAGGTACTTCTCTTTAAAGAAAGTTTTATCAGCTCCAGGGGCTAAATCAAAATCTGAGAGGAGAGTTCTTGCCCATCTGAACCTTTTAGGATTAGATCTCACAGGATTCTGCCTGTTCATGAAATTTAGCATCAGCTTCCATCCAAAGAAGTAGCTCTTCCTACTAAACGTGCCAACGTAAGAACTGTTGTCCTTTTAGTCTCCCAGTAACTGCAGTTCCTGTAGTCAGGGTGTTGTTTCTATGCTACATCGGCCTGCTGCCTTTTTGGAGTAACTTCAGAGACACTGAAGGTTTAGTTTGTTTCATGTTTTGGGGTTTTGTTTGGGTTTTTCTTTGTTTAAAGTTGGGATTAATTCGCAACAATGTATTGAGAGCAGTGCTTTCACATGTTCTGAGCACTGTGTTGTATGTATTACAGACCTTGTGCTGAGCTGACAATCAGATACGTGGTTATTGACTCGAGTTTTGAGCATCTGAAATTAAAACAGTAATACTTGAAAATGTAGCTGTTTGTTATGAGGTGACTGGAATAGCAGTGGCCACGTTTTTCAGCAGGGTCGTGTTTGTGTCATCCATGGGGCTCAAAGAAATACCAGTAGGGTGACTAGATGGTATATTAATTACAGTTTCTATTTTCAGATGCCGAGGTCTAGTTTTGAATTAAATGACAAATCTGACTCAAATTCTTCCATCAAATTTATTTGGATTGAAGTAGTGTGTAGAGACGCTGTTCCTTTTGTCACCGCTGAGGACAGCCAAGCTGTGGAAGAGGCTTGCAGGGTGCCTGGACAGGCTCTGGCTATGGAAGTTTTCAAGATGTGGCTGAACAATGCCCTGAGTGACATGTGCTGAGCTTGGAGTTTCCCCTGCTTTGAGCAGGGATTGGACTGGAGACCTCCCGAGGCCCCTTCCAACCTGAATTATCCTGTGATCCTGGATTAGGACTTGGTTATGCTAAGTGTTATGCTGAAGGGTGTTACGCTGTCCGTAATGCCCTGTCCCAAGGTTGTCCTGGCAGCTAAAAATCCTTCTTAAAGTGATACCCACAGAAGTAATTTCAGTTGATGTTAAGCCATCAGTGCCTGTGTTCTTTATCTGAGAGATCTTCCTTCTTCTTTTGCAAGCCTTTTCCTGTCAATTTTGCTAATCACTATTTTAGATTCATAATGTCGATAAGCTTCCACTCAAATTCTCACTAGTTGTGAAATAATACATAGTGCAAGTAGATATGAAAATGTGCACACAGGAGAGAATCCTTGAGGATGCATTAGTCTAATGCGGGCAAAACTGTACAGATACAGCAGAGGTTTAAAAGAGATTTAAGCAGGAATTGTCTTTTGAAGGTGAGCTGGGCTATGGAAAGCAAGGTGGTTTCTTAAATAATATTGCTGGATCTTGGCAATAATGATTCAGATGAGGTAGCCTCCAGGACGAATTATCACATCACTGCAAAAATTTGAAGAATATTGCAATCCTGGAAGAAGGAAACATTTTAGGATGTATGTTTCATAGAAGACTGAAAAGGGAGAGGGAAAGAAACATCAAAGCATTTAAAATAGTACTGGGGCTGAGTAGACTTAACACTTAAAGTTTGTGGAGACCCTAATTTTGAGTTAAATGCTAGTAGGGATCAGAGAGCCAAAACTGAGAACAAGACCGCCAGAAAATCCGAACTTAATTTTGGAGGTAGCTTTTGGGATTTGCCAGACTGCAGAATGTTAATTGCTTCAAATTGCAGAAGGAAAAAAGAGGCACAACTCTCTTAATGATGAGTGATGTCAATTTTGGTGATCTTGATGCGCAGGATTGTGATATCCTTGCATTGTCATTACAGCAAGCTGAGTAAGCAAACTGCAGACCCTTTGGAAAATTGAAAAGCAAAGTTAAATCTCCCAACAAAGAGTTTGCAAAGTGCAGACAAAGTGAATTTATGTGAAAGTCGGCACATGGAAGGCTAATGCCTAAAATCCTGCCCTTCTTTTGGCAGAGCTGCTGCGTAAGAAATGAAGCTGTTTTACAGAAGCCCATCGAAAGGGACCAGAAGTGCTTTAAAAAAAAGCAGTGTGTGTATAATCTGTAGGATGAAGAGGTGGAAGAGGGTTTTTTTTCCTCTTGCACAGCTCCTAAGGCTACATCCAGCTGTTGTAGCATTGCCTTGAATGTGAGCAGCGCTCAGGTTACTTGTGCATCTGTCGCTGAGCGTAGCACCGGATGTCGCTTGAAGGTTTGAAAGCAAAACCCAGCCCTGTGGCCACAGGCAAAGTGCAGATTAGAGAGAGGTTAAATTGCTCATGTTTCTGGGTAGGTATAAAAATAGCACAAGATTGCTTCTCCCTTTCTCCTTCCCTCTCTCTCTTCAGACTAATGGTTCTAGAAAGAAGTGAGCTGCGTGGTCTCACCGGCAGCGACCATGTGGGGACCTTTTGGGGCAGAGGTTGTTTTCTAAAGGCACCAGGGTACCTGCACAGCTGGTGTAGGCCGAGGGGGGGTGAATCCAGCCGGGTTCTGCCTCCCACGGGGCTGAGTGTGTAGCTTGAGGGCAAGGCCGGCTGCTCTGGGAAGAGGGAAGGATGGGAAGTGCTGGTCCAGGGCAGGAACTGCATGAAGTGTAGAATGGGAATGGAAGAGCTGATTTTCTAGCAAACGGGTAGATAAGCAAATGCTAACAGAGCTGTCTGATGTTAGACAGAGCCAAGAAAATGTGGGGCAAAGGTGTATCTGGTGCTGTGTATCTAAACATGTTCAAAAATATCTGGATTTGTGCACCTTGAAAGAATTTGAAATTCTTGAAAAGTGTTGAAAGAATTTGCATGTGCTGGGAACCACTTCTACCTCCCTAGTTTTTTGCATTGTTTCCTCTCTCCAAACGAAGCATTATTAAGGCACATGACTGTAAAAATGCCACCTTACGAGAAAAAAAATAACATGGGATCTTAATGTTCTGCAAAAGCTTATTAAATAACTTTCAAGTTATTTACTAACTTTCAAGACACCTGCAACTGGAAAAAAAGTCAAGATATGGTCCAGAGTTTTCAAAAACGGAGACTTGAATTCAAACTTATATTTGGCACTGCTAAAACAGCCCCCATGAAAGTGGAACTGTTGTCTGCCGTGATTTTTTTATAGCTTTAGGCTTTCTGCTGCGCACCTGCTGATAGTGTTTAAGGAAATTTTTTATTCCTGTAAAAAGGTAAAATGTAATATCATAGCAGGTTACATGGACTGAAGCATTTGCTGTTGCAAGAATTCATGTGTATCTGCATGTTGTGTATGGTGCCAAAATGTGGATGCAAACAGCAGTGATGTGTTGGGTTGCTGCTGTGATGAGTCCTCGCTAAAGAGATGTGAACTTCCAGGGACACAGGAGATATCTTCACCTCTTTCACTTCTGCGGAATGAGGATGGGCAATACATGCGATGTTTCCAAGAAAAACGTCACATGTATTTTAGGGGAATTGGCTGAATTTTGGGGGAAGCTTCACAAAACGTTTTCACTATTTTCGCTGTCAATAAAGCTCAGTAACGAGAGAGAGAATACTCTCTCAAATTACAAAATATTTATGCTTTATATAAGTTGGTCTCATAGTTCTAGTTTGATTAAAGTGCTGTTTTTCAGCAGTAGCTGTACTTAACGGTGTAACAAACATACCTGAAAGGTTTCCTTCTTCTGGTTATAGATGGATGGTGATAGCTCCACAACGGATGCTTCTCAGTTAGGAATTGCTGGAGATTACATTGGTGGCAGTCACTATGTGATACAGCCTCACGATGGTAAGAAGTATTACGGTAAACAGCACTATTTCTCTGTGTGTGTGTGTATATATTTCCTTCCAGTTCTTGTATAGTTCTCTGCTATCTTTTCTCAAGGTAAGAATTTGCAGTTGTTTGTATTCATAATGGCTTGCTGTATAAAGCATTTTTTCTGCAGTCTGAAGGTGGGGGTTGGATTTTTCAATGTTGACACAGAGTCCTTTGAGGTGATGACAAAAAAAAATGATGTTTTAGGAAACTGTTTGTACTTTGATAAGTCAGTGAGAGTGCTTAGCGTTCAGCAGCCACATACATTTCTGCACGTAATGTGATAAAGATGACATTGAACAACTGTAAAGGTACCATGGTGTTGCGTTTTTAAAATTATTTCTACAATGTTAACGTACTCTTCTTTCAAAAGTCTTCATCCTTCAGTGTAAGGTTTTAAACTGACTTAATTATTGCCTGCTACTATCAAATACAATTTCCGTTAACTTTTCTTTATTTCATTAGACACAGAGGACAGCATGAATGATCACGAAGATACAAATGGCTCAAAAGAGAGTTTTAGAGAACAAGATATATATCTTCCAATTGCAAATGTGGCAAGGATAATGAAAAATGCCATACCCCAAACAGGAAAGGTAATAAATACCCTTGTCTGATAAAGAAAGTGTGTTAATGGGTTTTATTCCTTCCTCTGAATGAACCTGAGCTGGTAGGGTGATATATTTTTCCAAATGATGCTGGTTTATTGGAGGAAAGCCTTATAAAAAAAGAAAAAAAAATCTGAGCAGGAAGTGATTGAGACCAAGTCCATTTTTCTTAGGTTTCTGAAAGCTTTTACTAACTGCCATAATTAGAGTATCCAGAACAGTGCTCTTCATAGGGCTTTCAAGAGCTTTCTTTTTCAAAGATGTGTTTTCTGAAATTGTCAAGGCAGGTCAGACTTGGTGACAATCCTGTATCAGTAAGAATTTTTTCTATGCAATTCTCTTTATCAAATTTAGTCTGCTTTTATTGAGGTGCATAAAATTTGGAATAAGCGAACCATTTTGGATTAAATAAAAATCCAGTTCTCATCCTGAAGGGAAGAGAATGATTAGTCTTCCATTGCCCAAATCTTTACATATCCAAATGCCAGAATGACCTAAGAAGTCTGCCTTATGCCACATAGCAGATAAGGCCAGATATTGAAAAGTTATTTCTTACTTCTAAGAATAGACTTTTTAATCCATTCTCATGAGCTGGTGACTGTGTAAGTGTGGGACTGTTCTACCTGTTTATCTTAAAACTTTGCAGGGCTCCAACTACTTGCTGTTTCTCTATTGTATTCCAATATAATTCCTGCCCCAGTAACACTTCCTTTAGCTAAAGCTGATTTTTTTTTCTTTTTTTGAAATCACTCTAAATAGAAGCAAGACATAATTTACTTGCATCTGCTTGTACTTTCATAGTGTTCAGGGCTTTCTGGAGGTCTGGGTGTTACATTTATATCTTTTCTGCAAAAATCTCTTCAGTAGTCCATATTGTCATAAATTTTTAGTGATCGAGATGAGATTTTTCTCAAGAATTTAGCATATGGGATGTCGAGCTTTCTTGAAAAATCAGGGAGGTTCTTGTGAAAAACTGCAAGGGAAGCTGCTGGCTGATGAGTACTTCTGAAAATCTCGCCCCATGTGTCTGAAAATATCAGAGGAACTAGTGAAGATTCTACATACGGTTACTGCTTCATTATTTTTTTTTTTTAATACAAACAGGTTCTCCTCATGTGAAGAATAAGAATCTTATTTGTTATAATCTTTCAGTTGGCTCCTGTCAGCTTCCCAAATAATCATGAGTAATGCTTGCTGTTATTTTTAAGTCGGGGAAATTACTTTTGTCCAGCTGAAAACCATAATCAAATTTACTTATTTCATTCTTGCCAGGGGCACATGTTTCTTCATTTGAATTCTCATTTGGAAAATTTATACTAGAATATTAAAGCATTGGAGAGGCTTGCTGCTAGGCGTATATTCTAGTCCCTGAATCTGATCAGGACTGCTGAATTTGTGGGAATGTACTGCAGCGGGGTTGGAAATGCTGGGTCTCAGAAGGAAGATGGGAGTAGGCTATGAGATTGTAATGAACAGGTTTAAAGAGAAGGCGTAGGTAAACAATACTGAGATGCATCTCTGTGTAACAGTTTGTACGTAAGAACATCATTATGACGTCAGGAGATCCTGGCAGTTGGCTGTGCTGCTTGAAATAGTAGAACTTAGGTTAAAATGATGTTGCAGCTGTGCTTACACAGAGCAGTGATGACATCCAGTGGTTCCCTCACATATGGGTGTTTCCTTGAATGGGTATTATCATCAGGTTTTGGGATGTTTCCTTTATTCTTCAGGTGGTTTTGTTTGGGTGGGGTTTTTTTGTGGGTTTTGGGTGGTTTGGTTTTTTTTTTTTTACATCTTCTTGTATCTTGATTAATAATTTTATGATCCTTTTTCCTTACTAGATTGCTAAGGACGCAAAAGAATGCGTGCAAGAGTGTGTAAGTGAATTCATCAGCTTTATAACGTCAGAAGCAAGTGAAAGGTGTCACCAAGAGAAAAGAAAGACCATCAATGGAGAGGATATTCTCTTTGCCATGTCTACCTTGGGGTTTGATAGCTATGTTGAACCTTTGAAGTTATACCTCCAAAAATTCAGAGAGGTTGGTATATATTTCAGTATTTCCTCATTTATTTAACCTGGTTGTGTTTATCCTTAGCTCCCTGTCATCGTAAATGTATAATGGATAATTTGCACGGTATCTCACGGCTATTGTCAGGGACTAATGTAATGTTTAAAAGCATTCCAGAGGATATAAAGAGAAAAAGGAGTAAGTAAGCATTTTGATTAGACTTGCTGATTCAAAGTAGTTAGAGCTTTCAACTGAATAAATTAGCTAATATATTGCTAGTAGTAAATCACTCTGTTCTTTAAAGGTGCCTATTAAGAATACTTAATTCAATCTTAGGGTCCAATCAATAAAACTGTACTCGACTGCATCCTCTAAGGAACTAGCCTAATGTCTATTGTTTGTCTGGGCTTCAGATCTGCAAAAGAAAAAGTCTTCTCATGTCAGAATAATGATAACAAATCTATCTGCTTCAGTGATTTTTTTTTTTTTAATCTGTTTGGGTTTTTTTTTTTTTTTTGCCTGTCCCTCAGTTTGCTTTTGATACATAGTATCAAAAAAAGAATCTGCAAAAGAATTTTTTGATACTATGATCTGCAAAAGAAAAAGTCTTCTCATGTCAGAATAATGATAACAAATCTATCTGCTTCAGTGATTTTTTTTTTTTTTTAAATCTGTTTTTTTTTTTTTTTTTTTTTTGCCTGTCCCTCAGTTTGCTTTTGATACATAGTACATGCTAGGTATGTGATCCAAGCAGTTTAATTTATCCCTTCTCTGGCAGAAAGTGACTTCTTATTTTTTTCCTTTCAGCAATTTAAACTTTTTTAAAAAGTTGCTTTTGCTTGGGTTTTTGTTCTGGTCTGCCCCCTGCTTCCTGTCTGGAGACCAAAGAGAATTATGCTTGCTTACTTCTTTACTTTGGTGGTTTTTTTACCTCGGAATACCAGATTTAACCAAACAAATCAAAGGTGTTTCTATCCAGTGACCGCTCTTCCTCATAGTCCTTAATGAAGAAGTTGTTCAGGATTAAAGTAATCCTGGGAAAAAAACCTTTTTTTTTTTTTTTTTTTTTAATGTGGATCCTTCAGTTGGTGTGGCTGCTTGGTTTTACAGGCATGAGTGAAGCAGGTATGTCTAAGTTGGCAGTGCTGTAGATAGAGGTGCTCTTCAGACTTTCTTCGTTCTATAAACCTAAGTTTTTTCAATTAATGGGGTCAGGCTCACTAGCAATATCTAATTTACTGATAGCACTTGAAGCTTCCCCTTCCCATAAGTTCATTTGCTGTGATAACTGAGTAACAGGAGGTGTAATCTAAAAGTCGAAGTACTGCTGTGTTCTCTCTTTTCCCGGTTCCGTGTAGGAGTTGCATGTGCCATCAAAATGCTGTATGTGTTTTAATAAAAAATGCAAGCAGTGCCTAACTAGTTTCAGTACTTCTGGAGAGGTCTGAAGTGGGTCTATGCTACTTTCATTCTGAAGCGACCATTTTTGCAGATACATGCTGTGTTAGCAGAGTAGTGGGATTGGGTTTTAATTGGATGGATGGATTGGATACTTTTGCTCATCAGTTTTAAACTTTAATTCCAGCTAGTTCTGTCTTCAGTGTACCATATATAGTGAAATATTTCTGTTTTGTAGCTTAGTATTTAGTCTACATCAAACAGGTGCTGAGAATACTTTTTATACCTGTATTATTTTCTTAGATGTTCATATGTAATAGCATAGAGCATCAAACCATACTTGTGAAACTACATGCAGGTAACTGGGAGCCTTGGCTTTCTGTGCTGATATCCTCTCTGGCTCTAGTCCTTGATGTGGGAAAAGAAATCCAATATCTTGGTTTTAAATGTCAAATCTAAGTTGTATGATGATGGCACTTGGCATGTGGTTGGTAAACAAATGTTGCATGTTCTCAGTAGTTCTGAGACTCTGTGATTTCTTGTCAGTGCTCTTAACTGCTTCTTCTGGGTTGCTGCAGATCTTTGCCTTTCTGCAGAAGGTGAAAGCCTTTCTTAGAACCTCACAAGCCTAGTTTACAGAGATTTTGTTTCTGAGGAGTATGGCTAAGATGAAAACCACCCTTCATATATTCTTGTACTGTGCATGCTCTTAAATCCCCTAGAGGTTATAGGTCTTGGATTTCAAACTCCAGCTGCTGCACAGTGACTCTTCTGCAAGTTCCGAACCTTGACTAAAGCTCCTGGGGTCTTGAAACGTTTTGAAGCCAACTGTACTCTAACATAAATTATTTTTTGTTTTGTTTTGTTTTGCTTTATTTTTTTCCTCTCCAGGCAATGAAAGGAGAAAAGGGAATTGGGGGAACAGTTACAACTGGAGACGGTCTAAGTGAGGAGCTAACAGAAGAAGCATTTAGTAAGTAATACTTTTGAATTTATTATATTATTACTATAGCTTTTCAAAAACCAGCACTTCCTTTAGACATCAGAATTCTTACTTGAGGCATACATCCTGATCTGGCCACATGTTACACCTGTGATCCACTGAGGTTCTCATTTGAGATGTCTGGAGGATAACCTGTGCTCAGATAAACTCCTCCCAGTCAGCAGAATTTATAGTCAGAATTAAGTAATAGAGTGTTAAGTGATGACACTCTAGCAACAGCTGATGTCAACTGTGGAAGATTTTTAAATGCATACAGTAGTGCCAGTAGTTTTCTCTACATTTAAACACAGATTGTAATGAAAGGTGCAAACTGGTTTTTTTCTTTCTTTTTTTTTCCCCCCAGTAGCTACATATTTAGGCCACATTCGTTCTACTTGCAAGACTGTTGGGGAAAAAGTAAAATAAACTCCACTTGACGACTTGAGGAGCTCGTCTTTGAGAAATGAGCCAGAGAAGAACATCATCTTCGTATAATTATAAAACACTTAGTATTTCTTATATTCAAAAGAATACACAGATTGGCAACTAAAAGGTGTAGGGCGAGGAGCATCATATGCATTCACTGTAGTTTTTCTTCCTTATACTGTGAATTAAAGCCTGACAGTTGTTGGGACTTTGCGTCAGTTTTGTTGATGATGGATTCTTGCATGTAGTCATCTTGGCTTTTAAATGTTATGGGCTGGTCATCTTGAAGCTGATACAAGAAAAATTGGGAGGTTCGGCTTTAATCATATCTACTGATGAGATTTAGTTTTTTCATTTTCAAGTATCTGATAAATCTTCCGTTTAAAATCACTAGTAGGCTACCGAACCAGCAAAAATTCAAAGCCTGAGGACTGAAATGACCCATTCAGGGTCTGAAACACACTTTGCTCCCAGTATGATGAATTTGGCTATGTAAAACAGTACAGGCTCTTCGGGTCTCAGCCTGGAAGATAAGCTCATAAAACTGGCTGGAAAGTAAGAATCTAAACCTAAATATTGCAGGGGCCTTGTAGAAAGCTTTTTTTTTTTTTTTTTTTTATATGACTATTTTAATTTTATCATTAAAGATTAGGCAATGAGAGTAATAAACTCTTATCCATACTCATTTGTATGTAATGCTCTGTTGGTTCAGAGGTGGCAAGACACCAGCACAACTCTAGGGCCCACCTATTTACGTTGGGTATATTGCTCATGGTTTCTAGATTGTACCTGTTGGGAGTCTGTCCAACTGGGAAACCTGTCAAATCAATATCTAGAAATTGTACTAAAAGCTTTATTTTGTATATAATCTGATTTGCACTTCAAGCATGTAAACTGCAGCTCAAGAGTTGAGGAAGAATATATAATTGGAAACTTCTGATTGTGTCTGCATCCAGTATCTTGTTTTGTGTGGCATATTCACAGAAAGTTCCTCCTCTGACTGCTCATGCTCTGCCTAGCCCGAGTACAATGCCAACCAGAAAATGGAAATCAGAAAAAAGGAATCCCCTTACATCTGTGGATTCTCTGTCCCCTTCCCAAATTTGATATGACCCCTGTTAAACAGCAGAAGGTTGAACACCTGCTGCTAGTCACTTGTTCAAATATGTCAGGCCAGGAAGCCTCAGCGAACTCTCTGAAATAAACCTTATTTTGCCGTGATTTGAAAAGAGCAACTTTGGAAGTGAATATTAAGTCTTGGCAGGATGCAAAGGAGATGTTGCAGTAGTTCGGAGGAGGAAAAAGAAAAAAATTTCTGTAAAATAACTCATTGTGTCAAGTGCTGCAGGTATTTCTTTCCATAGGGGCAGCTGCAGATCTGTTTGGAGCGATGGTCCTTCTGCAGCAGCAGCACTAATAGGTGTGCTACTGCGGCATAACCCTTGGCTCTCTCCTAGCCTAATGCCGGGGCTGGGTCAGAGGCCTGGCTTTAAACTGTGTTGGATGTGGAACATACACATCGAAAGGCAGTAAAATTTTGGACCTGCCACAGCCACTTCTCACTGTGATGCTAATGCGTCTCTTAACTTGCAACTTAAGTATTTGAACATTGGTACAATGAAGGTAGGAAAACCCCCCACAACCTAACAACCAAGAACCCAATTAAAAAACCCTCAAGCATCAGCTTTCAAATGAAAGCTGTCAGCAATATACCGTGTTTTCAGAATTTTTTTTATTGGTTATATGTCTTATTTATACATAGTAGCAGCCTCTTATTCTTAGAGTATCAGTCTCTGTGTTTTCTCTCCAAATCTCAGAAGTGTTTTTTTACACGATTGATTGGCCTCCTCTCTCCTCTATGAAATTCAGAGTTCTTGTGTGTACCCTGAAGGGCGTGCTGAAGTCAACCAGTGCAATGTCAGGCTCTGGCAGTGCCTTTTGATTTCTTTTCTTTTTTTTTGTCATTGCCTGTCTCTGTTAATCTCTGCTGCCTTCCATGGGGCTTCCACATTACAGAGCCCCTCCCTGATGGATCCTGTTTTATAAAGAAGTGCAACGATTTCATTTTGTTGCTCACGCACCTGTATGCTCAAGTGCTAACCTTGTGTCTAAACAAAACAAACTGAATTATCCAGGTTTCTTGGGGTACTGAATGCTGGAGATGGCTTTTTCAGTGGTCAGGATGACAAACTCCACTCCATTTGCCAGTGTACGATACATCCAGGGGAAGAAGACGGTGCAGTCTTACTTTAAGATTATTTGATGAAAAATTAAGTTGAATTCTGTTTCCTAGGTGTTTTTTCTTCATGGGAATACACTTGTTTTCTCATAACACTCAGTGACAAGTGTGTCTCTACGCAGTGTAGGATGGTAGCTGTTAGGAGAGGAACGGCTCCGTAGTTCTGGAGCAGACCACAATGAAAGGTTATTTAATGGTGACAGGCACATTGAACAAGGCGCTCTGTATCCTGCAGTTCCTGTCTAACTTTCTTAAAATGCTCTTTCTTTCAGCTAACCAGTTGCCAGCAGGCTTAATAACTACAGATGGCCAACAGCAGAATGTTATGGTCTACACAACATCATATCAACAGGTACTGTATCCTGTCCCCTACTCTCCCTTCTGCTGCTAAAATTCAAACGCTAATTCAGCTGTCCTGTTCTGAAAGATGAGAAGGCGTTTTATTTAGTCCTTGGTGATGGCTGTCATGACATTCCAACACTGTGACAATTCAAGGCTGCTACCTCTGATGCAGTTTCAGAAAAGGTGCATTTGAAAGTAAGCTTACATTTTCTTTCTGTAGATCTCTGGTGTTCAGCAAATTCAGTTCTCATGATTTGAAGAAAACTTTGTATCTGGGAACACGAGACGGAAAAGCTGTGCAACTCTAACGAAGAGGCAGTTTTAATGACTGGTGAAGAGATTTATCTCTTTGTATATTACATAGCTGTAATGTAGCTACCAGAAGCTTGACTAATTGAGGTGTGAGTTCTGACTCAAATCTTTTTCATGATGATTTTAAAAAAAATTGGATTTTAAAGGTATTAAAGTATTTTTATTTTGTACAAGAGTTTGTTGCTCTGTATAACTCCTGTATGCATTGTAAATTGCAATTTATTACTGTCAGAGATTTGTAGACAGTTTCTTATTTTCATATTGAATCATGTTACTTTTGTAATTCAGGTAAACAGCTGGGTTAATTCATGTTTACCCTTTGAATAAAATTGTAAGGGTAAAGTTCATTTTTGAATGCAAGTTGCCTTTATTATAAAGATTGAGTTGGTCTTGGTTATGTAACTTGTCTTGCATGACAACCTCAACTAACTTTACATGTCAGCATATTTATTGAAATTTTGAAAGGGACTTTTTCCTCTTGAAACTAGCAGCTCAAAAGAATTGCTACAACTGTTTTTTTTAATGTAACTTCGGAATTAAAAGTTAATCAAAAACAACCAGTGCTCTGCTACATTTAAAGACTTAGAGCTTATCAACAGTGTTGATGAAAACACGCACCATGTGTGATGCAGGTCTTCATTTCTTTCTGGTTTTTTTTTTTTTTTTTTTTTTTTCCCCAAGATGCATTAACTCTCCTTAGACTTACTTTGATATATTTAAGGTAGTCTTTGTGCTACTGAAAGAACTCTTCCTTTTTATGTATGGTTTTTAGAATCCAAAACTTAGAAATTCAAGGGTAGCAAGTGTGGGGGGGATTTTATAGTCCTTGTGGTAAAAGATCTTATTTTAACTTTTTACTGACATGTTTTAGGGTTTCTTGTGAGATTGTGCAAACTCAAATGTGTTAGCGACTTTTTGTGTACAGGCTGCGCGCGCGCGTGTGTGTGTGTGTGTGTGTGACTGAAACTTAAACAAGTGATACAAATCTGAAATGGAAGACAGACTTCTAGTCTGCTGTCTCTTTCCAGGTTTTGCAATAGACTCTACATAGGTAATGTAGTTCTGTATATTTAGTGAGCTGTTCTTAGTAACATTGCTGTTTCTTTAATAATCGGGTGGGTAATTTTGTTAGATGCAGTGTGTTAGCCTGTTAGGGTAGGGATGGTGGTTTTAGTAATATATCTTACTCAGACTGAATTTTGGGACCTTGGATATTTTTACTGTTTGCAGTGGACTGAAATGTAATATGATAATTACCTTATCCCAGAATCCTGAAATAGCCAGTTCTTTGCTAAACAAAAATTTTATGTATGTGCAGATTCGAACAGTTTCTTACAAATCAGCATCGTGCTGGCAGAGCCTCTGGAGGCAATCCAGTGTATTCTGTGGCAATCTGGACGGATGTGCTGGGCTTTGTGGCAGTCTGTCATTCTTCAGCAGCTATGACTGAACAAATGGAGTTTTTCATTAAATGTAAAAACGAATAACACAATCCCTACATGAGCCCCTTCCGTTGGTATTCTGTTTATTTCAGGCTGTCATACCCTGTTCGTGATGTTCCCAGATTTGCAATGGAAAAGGCTGTGATCTTGGCTAAGGAGAAGCTAGGAGAGATTTGGCAGTTGGATGTTAGAGAGGGGACTGAGGTCACCTGTCACATTTGCTTGAAACCAGCTACATTTTTCAGTTATAGAATCACAGACTGGTTTGGGTTGGAAGGGACCTTAAAAGCCCCCCCAGTCCCACGCCCTTGCCCCGGGCAGGGCCCCCTTCCCCCAGCCCAGGGGGCTCCCAGCCCCGTCCAACCTGGCCTGGAACCCTTCCAGGGAGGGGGCAGCCACAGCTGCTCTGGGCACCCTGGGCCAGCGCCTCACCCCCTGCACAGGGAAGAATTCCTTCCTAGTATCTAATCTAAATCTTCCCTCTTTCAGTTTAAAGCCATTATACCTTGTACTATTCCTACATGTCCTTGTAAAAAGTCCCTATCCGGCTTGCTTTCAGTCTGCTGTCTCTTCTGTGAGTTTAGGTTAAAGTATTTTGAGTTTGTGGTTTACATACCATCATGTGAGCAAAGGAACTGATACTGCTTTGGCTTGCTTTTTTTCCTTTCTCTTCTCACCTCCCAGGGTTCACAGACAAAACTGCAAGCAACTTGCTCATTCACTTCTTGAAAATACATAGGTAGAAGTCATAGTACAACACTTTGATCTCTCTCTGAAACCATTCACCTAATAAAATCTGCAGGGTAAAACAAATGTGGTCTGAGGAAATACTTGCCTAATTTATATTAGAAGTAGCACAGTCAGTGTGGAGTCTTTATTTTTGTTTAAAAAGTGATGAGTGTTCTCATGTTTCTGTTTGTAAGCAAGTACTTAAAGTTTAAAAGCAGCTTTGACCCAAACCAAGAGCAGCCATTCCTGCTGTATCCCACCTGCTTCTACAAAACTGCAGTCTTTGGTTCTTTGAATGTTTTGTCTGAACTAACACAGCCCCAAATGGAGCTGGAGACAGCTGGGGCAGCCCGGGCTAAAACTTGGAGAAAGACTGCTTGAAGTAGCAGTGGTGTTCAGAGAACTGTTTCTAAGCAGTGACTTTTTTCGGGTGTCTTTCCATGACACAAGCAAATTTCACTACATTAATTTTTTAAAATTAATTTCTGTGTGACTTGATCCTTCTAATCCTTCTCCATAGAGCGCTCGTGGTGTCTAAAAGCACAGAAACACTTATTCCCCAGTCAAAATGCTGTTATGAGAAAAGCTAATTTAGATGGCGGTGTTCTGCATCCCATTTTCATTATGGGCTTAATGGGAGCTGAGGCTCTGCCTTTTCCAGTCTTGCCGATGTACATACGTATCTTAACTATTTATTTTCTTTATTCCTCTGTTCTTATCTCTACTGAATGCTGAAATATGTGGCTGGATAGCGTAGCCAGAACATGGAGGGAGTCTTGGCAAGAGGCAGTACATCCTAATTATCTATTGACCCATGCTTATCTGCCTGTAGCTAAAACTCAGTCTGAGTTATGTGGGATCGACTTTAAATAGCCATCTTCCTTGAACTGCACCCTGGATACGCTGTGAATCAGGGCAGATTAGTAGATGGTCCCTTTCACAGAGCTTTCAGACGCTGCTCGTTAACATGTTGTAAGCGTATGTAGGTGATTTCTCTCTTGCCTTTGGCAGGGGAGGGAGCGTAGGGTCAGCTGCACACGCACAGGAGATTCCTCAATGCAAAGCAACACGGAGAGCCAAGGGCTGGTATTATCCCTAGCACCTTGCTGTCCCGCTGAGGGCTGACTGCTCCATGCTTATAGCTATAAAATTCTTCATTTTGCAGAACTTTGAATGTGATTAATGGTCTAGTTAAGTCATGTACACTCACTGCTTCAATTACATTGACAGCAAAAAGACAGCTTGCTTTTAAGTCACTGCATTCCCCAATGGTGCAGGCTAGACTTTTTTCAGTTTTGATTTGTACCGAATGAAGTAGAAGAAAGGGAGTTTTTCACTTAAATTTGAAGTGAATTTTCTTACGTTTATAGATAAAACAACCTGCCTGTATGTCAAGTCTAGGGTGAATAATGCTGTAGGGAACTTTATTTTATGTAGGGCCCAAGCAGACCTAGAGGAAGAAGTTAAATATTGATAATGTGGACGATGGTTACTCTTGTATTTCCCTTTCGGCTTGGTTTGGTGAAAAGAACAGTGGTGGAAGGATGCCTTTTGGCTGTGGTACAGTTTGACATGTACCTAGCTGAAAATACGGGCCATTTTCTCCTCTTTGAAAACAAGACATGTTGTTCTGGCATAATCATTCACACTTCCACCCTTTAAAAGGCTGAAAAAAATATACTTAAGCAACTGACTGTTGATCTGTTTACCTACCAGTTTGTGAAATCGGCGTGAGAATGGACTGCAACATCACCTCTGACCCTCAGGATGTAAAAAATTAATGGAAAGCTCTCTAGAAACTCAGTGCCAGTTCAGCTTGCCCTGACATCCAAGGCCAAATGCTCTTGGGAGTGGGGCCAGTTTGCCCCCATGCAAATAGTTTCCAAATTGATGCCGGCTGCACCACGTTTCTTAAATTGCAGCCTCCACCTCTGGCCGAAGCGGCAGGGAGGGAGCTGTGGCTGTGCACAGCAGCTCAGGAGGAGTTGGTCAGGCTGGTTTAGGAAATCTGCCAGGCAAATTGCCAGGGTCCTATCCTGGAATATCTCGCTGCAGCAGGCTGGGCCAGAGGAGCCGTTTGTCGGGAGCAATGGCACCTGATTTGCTTTTGTACGAAAGAAAACTGTCGAGGGTTTAAATCTGCTGGTCCGAGGAGCAGCCTTCAGGCTGCTAATCCCACCTGTGGGCACCTAATGCTTAACCCGGCCCAGCCCGTGTAGCATCAGAGCTGGCAGCTGGTTTTTAGGACAGAGCTGCCTGAAAGGGTTTGGTTTCTGGCGAGCAAACCGCAGTGGTAAGTGGCTCACTGCTCACCCCCAGAAGGCCCATCAATGTCAGTGCGTTGCAAACTAAGGTTTTTAGCAGCCATTGACTCCTGCTCAGACTCGGGCCAGGTTTTTGGCCCTGCCCAGGGGTGCAGACTGCCTTTCTGCAGAAATCACTGGGCGCAGCGTGAGTCCTCCCCTGCCATTGGGGTAACGGTGACTAAAGCATGTTCCTGCTGCTTCTAAACTGACATCGCTGCGCGCCTTCAGTGTGCACAATAAAAGGACAAAAAGTGGTTGTTTACAACTTCCAGTTCCCTGCCCTGCCTTGGTACACGGCTCTCCCCAAACCCAGGGTAGGGCATGGACCTAGCCACTGGTTGTAGCTTGCCCAGTGACAGCTACAGCAGAAAACTAATTTCTTACACATATTTGCTTCAGGTGTGTCTCTAGCATGGCAGAAATGAGAGGCAAAAGTACAGAAGACTCTTTTTTTATATCAATAAAATAATTCAGTAAATAAGGGCAGGGGATCTGTCTGAAATGACTCGGCTGCAATGACAAGAGTACCTTCTGCCCCAAAGGGCACGGTTACAGTAACAGCAAATAAAAGCAACTTCCAGCAGTACACCTGAGACTCACAGTTCAGATATAAATGCTGTGTCACTCAAAATACAACTGCAGCTAAAATGTGGTCACCATTTGTATGAAAGAGCAAAGTAGGAATCGATACCGTTTTTACTCCGCTCTGCATCTTGTGTGAAGATGTCCTAGTTCATTTTTCTTGTTAGTAGCTAGAATAGTGCTGTGCTTTGGACTCAGTAGGGGATTTGGTTTGAGAAGAACGCTGCTAATATACTGATGTTGTCAACTGTTGCTGAGAGAGCAAGGATTCTCCAAATCCCCCTGTCCTGCCCATGCACAGGTGTAGAAGCTGGGAGGGAGCACGGCCAGAGCACTGGACCCAAATTGACTAAAGAAATATCCCGTATCCTGTGATGTCAGGGGTGACCAGAAGGAGGGCATTTTCTTTCGCTTCTGGAATTGTGATTGTGGATCTTGGGTTTGTCGGGATTGCTAGCTGGGAGTGGGCTGGGTATCAGTCAGCGAGTGGTGAACTGCATTGTGCATTGCCCATATGTACTTCCTATTATTGTTACTGTTTTACTTTATTTCAATTATTAAACTGTTTTTATCTCAACCTACAAGTCTCCCTTTACCTCCCCAATTCTCTCCCCCATCCCACAGGCAGGGGAGGGTGAGCAAGCGGCTGCCTAGTGTTTGGCTGCCGGCTGGGTTTAAACCGCGCCAGAAGACAAAATAGTTGACCCCATCAGAGCTTATCTCCCGTCACCGGCAAGCAGAGCCTAGCGCAGATAAAGGACCCTGGGACACCCAGGTTGGTTTCTGCAGCAGCTGACGACTCAGCCCAGGCCACGAAATGGAAACCCACCCAGATGCCCAAGTTCCCTGTGTAATGTTACACAGTGAGAAAAGCGACCCTGTGAGCAGGGAGCTGCCTGGTGGGAAAAGCTAAGCACCGAGGGAGAAGGGAGAGGAACCAAAAATCTCACCTCTAGCCAGCTGGAGAGCATTGCTGCTGCGGGGAAACCGGCTCCATCACTTCAGGATGGGAACGTGGAGGCCTGGGGGAGTGCTGCATCAGAGGACGAGTCTGCTCTAACTCTATTCAAAACCAGCTGCAGCATCCATATTCTACAAGCCAAGCAGCTGAAACTCATCCAAAATGTCTCTTGAGTGGATGCAGAGAGATGAAGTTCTGTACCCACCAGGAGAAGAAGTACTGACACTAACTGGTAGCTGTTGTCTGGCTTGACAGCTCCCATGCCGCTTCAGGTGGCCCAGCAGCACCTCGCTACAGCAACTTCATCTTCCTAACCTCCTAATAACAGCACAAATACAAGAAACAGATGTCCCTAGCTAATCTTTGAATAATAACTACATAAATAGTCTGCATTTATGCTAAAACATTTGTGCTGTAACTTAAGTAGGTGAAACCTCAAACTGTTAGATTGAAATTTCAAGTAGTTTTTTTTTGGTTTGGTTTGTTTTTTTTTTTTTCCAAGACAGTCGTTTCAGAGAGCTGTTCCCAGGACCCAAACATTTTCTTCCCGGAGCAGACAGCATATAAAATCAACATATAAAAGTCTCCTCCCTACTCAGGCAGAGTACAATGAAGAATTACCAACCTGCTACTAAAAAGAGTAATTTGGGGTACTTCTTAATACTGCAAGCTACGAGCTACTCCTGGTACCTAATAAATTTTTGTTAAAGAAGAATTAACAGCACTGCATATAAGAGAGAGAGGGTTATCCCAAAAGGCAGTTAAGAGTCCC